CTCAGCCTAGACACTTCAGCAGGCTAACAAAAACCCTTCCCTACATCTTTGGAAATGTACATTTCAAGTTGACATAAACTCCTTCACATTCAAAGGAAAATAGTAATACCAGTAACCGAAGAGGCCATGAGAGCCCTCTGCAGAGTAGGGAGTGATCAGAAAAGTTTCAGCAGGCAAGTTTCTTAGAGCTTTTTGAGTCTACACCAAGATGCCTCTGTGGTGCTCTCACACAATCACTCCTTGTCAGTACCCTTAGAACTTCCATTTTTGCAGTTGGCTGAGCCTGCTGAATCTATCAGTGCGTGCTTTGCACAAAGCTGGAATTGTGACTAACAGTCCCTGATTCCAATTGTGTAAACATCTTTACAAAGACTTCCATTTTGGGTCGTTTTAAGGGGGAAAGGCGTATTTCAGCTAAGAGGACTGCTGTGTGTCTCCCAAGCCTCCTCGCTCCTACTTCCTGCCTTCTGACAGCTAAAGGTTTTGAGTTTCTGTTTTTAGCATGGTTCTTTAACAATTGAAATGACACCTGAAGCATACTACAAAAGCAAGCTCCTGTCCTGCCCAGTCGGGCCCAGGTGCAAATGAGGTCCATGTGGTGCTGGGACTGAGTCCCTCCAATGACAGTTTGCTAGGGGCACTGAGATCTGGCCTGGATGACCGTATGGAGGCTCCTGTCTTCAATGTGTTTTGATTTCAAAGCTTCTTGTTACCAAAATATTTGGTTCTCAAAGCTACTGGCAGGTGATAATAACAAAAATGAAACTGGCTGGAATTTGAATTCAGTTATCAAGTCACTACAGTCCTAAAAAACAAAAAAGACAAGAGTTAGCTCTGTAGTCTTGGGTTTCTATGAGAATTTTCCCACAACTAACAATACTCCACTTCTAAGCTGCAGGATTGATATGAATAATAAATGAAATAATATCTGCAAAGCAACTAATGTGTTTTCTTCCTCCTAATTATAATAATTTAGAGGAGCAAATGCTTGAGAAATGAAAATTGCAATCTTCTGTTTATACAGAGAGCTTATTTAGCTTTGCCCCTCAAAAGGTAGGATGGGAGGCCCTTCTGGTGGTATCAGTAAACTCAGAGGGTCGGGGATGCCCTTTGGCTACACAGTGATGCTCTATCAATGAGCCCAGCAGTTCTCATGTGCAGGGGTGTGAGTGTGTCCACGCATGTGTATGTGTCTGTCTGTCCTTGCTTCAATTCTTCCTCATAAAGGAGTCTCATCAACTTTGCTTAGAGTTGAGGCCTCATTTAGACATAAGGAGGGCAGGTCTTCACTTTCTGCCATGGGAGCTTCTCTCATGTAAATGGGGATCTGGGCCTGTCTGGGTACAAAGCTAAGGTGGGAGTTCCCCTGACCCATGTCAGATCACAGCTGTGACCACAGTCCTCACTTACCCGACAGCCACAAGGCAAAAGGTCCCTATTCCTCTGCCAGAAGCCTGAGAAAACTCAAGAGTTTATAATAACAACAATTACGGTAGTAGTAGTAGCAGTAGGACAGTTAACCTTAATTATGTCACCTTTATTAGCTTAGGATCCACCCAAGGGATTAGTGAAGCATGTTCCTGGATGTGCATGGGTGGGCCACAGAGGCAGTACTGTGGTTACTCTGTGTAGTCCCTTGCCCCTTCCTTTCTGGTGCTGTTCCTAGCAGCCACCAAACAGAGCAGCTTTGCCTGTGAGGCCCTTGTGCCGTGGAGCTAGACAATCGTGGCATGAATCCCTGGAAAGAAGAGAGATGTAATTTGGCTTTGTAAAGTGAAGTATTATTATTATTATTTTCACCCTTGAACTTTTTAATACAAGCTGTATATCTTAATTTTGGAAGGGAAATGTTCCTTTAAAATCAAATTTTCTAAATAACTGAAAAGTATGCCCCAAAGTGTCAATAGGCAAATAATTAATGACAATTTTGGACATACCTACTGTTCAGATGTACTGAATGTTTCTTTGTTATAGTATTTCTAGACCCTTCTGTGTCTCAGTTTCCTCATCTACAAAATGAAGATAACAATAGTTCCCATTTCAAGGAAATTCCTTCCAGTTGTGGGTATTGGTGTTATGTCCCAGTGATGAAAAAGCTGACAAATATACATCATACTAATAGTAGGTAACATTTATAGACTACCTGCTAGCCACTGTATTTTCCAACTTACCAATAATCACAACCATCCGAGCCTAAGACCAGTATTACACTTTGGCCCAAAGCCTGATGATTTTCCCAGTCTCCCTGTATTAGTCAGATTTGGGGGGTTTTTAGAAACCCTTTTTTGGTACCAGGAATCAAACTCAGGGCCTCACGCTTGTCAAGCGGGTGCTGCACCAATGAGCTATATCTCTACCATAGATTTTTTGTTGTTGTGAACAAATTCCAAAAAAAAGTCAACTTTGAAGGAAAAGACTTATTTTAGCTCATAGCTTCCAGGGTTCAATTCATGATCATCTGTCTTCCAGGTAGAAACAGGATGAAGGATGTGGAGAGGGAAAGCTACTCACCTCATGTCACCTGGAAAAGTAGAGAGAGATTGGTGGTTAGAGCCAGAGAGGAAAGGCCTGAGCTATGCTGTACTCCGCAATCTGCCTCATCCAATTAGGCCCCAACCCCAGTAAACCCATTCAGCTAATGAACTTGTGAGTGGATTAATTCATTTGACAAAGTTAGAATCTTCACAATCCCATCACCTTCTCAAACCCATCAACTCCAAGCACATAAGACTTTGGGAACATTTTGTAGATCTAAACCATAAGAGTGCCCTTTTCTCCTAATAAAATCTTCTGAACCTCATCTTCCCTCCTCAGCTGAATGCCCAATGTCTATTTGCAAATCTGCTCTTCGGGCCTCATGTGTTAAAGATAAGTGGAGGGCATCCCTCGACGTTTATAGCACTGTGTTTGTATGTTTGTGTGTGCTCTGTTTCCCACATTGGAGTCAAGAACCACAGAGCTGCTTCCCTACCTCTCCAACTGGTGACTCAGTGTCTCATGGGTGGTCTGGGCCAAGAATAGGGATGGCATCAGCTTGAGCATTAGCCAGGGATGCTGTCAATGGAGGAGGACTGCTAAATACACACACCCTTCTCAGGGACATTGCTGTCCACTTTCTCAGCCCAGAAGAGGTTTCTCTTGCAAATAAATCAATCCTACAGATGATGCTGGACTCACAAATCTGCAAGTAGCAGTGTGAGGGCTAGCAATATGATAGTGGAAGAAAACAAAACACACCAACTAGCAAATAACATTCAAACAGTACAAGCAATCAAGGACCATTTAGCAGGAGTACGTGACTTACTTCCACAGGCCTGAAGCTGTCATTGTAGGACAGTATTTTTAACTTGTCAAACATAGCCATGCACATATGCACATATACCATGTATAACATTGTGTTCTGGGTGCTTTTTAGTAACTTTATTTGACCTTCAGCACCCCATGAAGTGAGAGATGCTGTTGTCTTCATGTTGTAAAGAAACTGAGACACAGAAGGGCCTAAAAATGCTATAACTAAGAAACATTCAGTACATCTGAATAGTAGGTATGTCCAAAACTGTCATTAATTATTTATATATTGATATTTTGGGGCATACTTTTCAGTTATTTAGAAAATTTGATTTTAAAAAAACATTTCCTTCCAAAATCAGAATATGTAGCTTGATTAAAAAGTTGAAGGTTGCAAACAGTAATGATAATACTTGACTTTACAAAGCCCTTATCTGTGACTCTGAGCAGCAGGGTAGGTCTTTTTTTTTTTTTTTTTTTTTTTAACCATCATGCTTCTTGTTTTCTTCAAAATAGCTGTCCATACCATCAGACATACTACAATTAAACAAAACAATAAAGTCAATCAAAACAAAAGAATAAAGGCAATACAGAACTTCAAAGCCAGATAATAGGAAAGCAACAAGTGCTACCATAATTCATCCTTTTGTCTTCAAAATAGCTACCCATACACCATCAGACACAGTAAAATCAAACAGAACAAGACAGAATAAAACCAAACCTAACAAAACTATAAGAACAATGCAGGAACTCAAAACAAGATTATAGGAAATTAACAATGATCAACACCTTCCCTTTTTAGACATCCTCCCCTATCATTTTCATTAATATAATTTTGGATCCTGTATACAAGAAACATATTTAACTCAAAAGGAAATTCATAGACCAAAAGTCAAAGGAGAAAAAAACAGTCATTCCATGTGATAGGAAACCAGAGAAAAGCAGGGTAGCTTGCCCATCAACCATACCAGGGATATAAAAGAGACTGTATTTTCTTACAATGGAAAGCTAGTCAGCTATGAAGTAGGATAATCTCAGGGCTCTTGTAGGTAAATGGATGCAACTTGAGATCATGCTCATGGGTGAAATGGTTAAGATTCATATGGGTGAACATTGTGTTATCTCCCTGTAAAAACTTACAGGGTAGGTCTTTTGTCCTGTGATATCTGTGATGATTTACAGACCCAGAAAATGTGTGTTTTGCCCAAGCAAGGTCAGATGTGGAGTCTGAAGCCCAGTCCCAATTGTCTTCATAGAGTTTGTAACCAGTGGTTTTAGAATGAATGAAAACTAAGATTCCCCTGAGTTATGGTGACCTCCCTTTGTGAAATCTTAAGTTCCAGGCAAAGGGATGTAGAATGTGAGCAGCTGACAGTGACTTGCTAATCCTTCCTGACAGAAATCGGTTTTCTGAGTGAACCATCCACTGAGTGTTACAAGGCTGTCTGTTATACAAGTTCCTATAAATTCTTGCCAACATAAAGTATGGGTTTATTTGGGGTTAGGTAAAACTTTCACCCAAATCAGTAGATAGATAAGTAGCTAGATAGATAGCTATTCCAGCTTATATTTGTGATGTATCTGCTTTGTGCCAAGTAATCACTAAGAAAGCCTGGGTTCTGTTACAAGAAGGAAAATTGATTGCCACTACTATTTTAAACTCTGATTTGAATTTCTCATTCACATGTTATTCTTTCTCTTTTTCCCCCAAGGGTCGGGATTACTGTTCGGAAGAAGAGGATATCACATAGCACCAATTCTATCACACAGACCAGGAGCTACTACTGTGTAAATAGGTTACACCCCAGTTGAAATCTTTGCAAAGGTCGGTTCTCTTCGACGAACAGCACTATAGCAAAAGAAGATCGTTTCATATCGTATGCCCCATTAAATTACAGTGTTTCTTAATGAACTTGCAAAGGAATATTGCTAAAACAAACAAAAACTGTTATTGAACTTTCTTTGTTGCTGCTAGTTAAAACTTGTTGCAACTTTTCACTTCTCTTGTGTCCAGGTATGCAGCAAAATTCTGCAATTTCACCTTAAAGATACTATTGGTTTTACAGATGCTCTTCAACCTATTTTCTATAAGATGAAGTAGTGGTGAACTCAGATATCAAACTTCTAGACCAGTTCTGCTTCTAAGTCAAGCATTTCTTTCCCTCTCCCTTTCTTCCATATCTCTCCCGAGCCATCCAGATACAGCCTGGGCCCCTTGCTTGACGCTGGCAATGTTGAGCTTTGGAAATGAGGTGGTTGCTTTGGCCAGCCTTGTTTCTCTGCTCTGAAGAAGTAGAGGAGCTATAACCAATTAAACACATGGTGTGACCTGACTCCTGAAAGTGACGTAGGTGCGGGCAGCAGGTTGTTCCATCTAATAGGTACCTTCATTGAGAATTAAGCTTGCAACATTGGCTTTGCTCAGATGCAGATGGAAGTGTGATGCAGTCATTTTGAATCCCTCTTCCTCACTTTTTTTTCTAAGAAATAAACATTTTACTGTTTTTATGTATCTTTGTCTTCTCCCATTCATCCAGCTCGATGTTTTAAGGTGATCTTGGATGTGGAAGTTGAGCCTTCCTTTGCAGTGACACTGACAGGTGGCCTAAGTGGCTCCCTGCCCTTCCCCTTAAAAATCCACCAAGGCTCAGAAGGGCTGTGAATGGTCAGAAGAGATGAGGGGACACCCCATGACCTTTGAAGAGGAACAGAAGCCACGATGTTATCTTTCATTTTGTTAGCAAATAAAGCACCGTATTTTGTGATTCTCTCCCTTCACGAAGCTACATGAGCCTTGCCACTTCCTCCTCTTCCTAATTCCAGTACTTGATAGTACAGTGAAAAGCATTTGCCTACCCAAAAACATAGGACTTTTACACTGGTGATGATACTTGGAGATGTGAAAGCCAAAAGCCCCTGGCAGTGGTGGGGAATGCTGACTGTGTGTTCAGTAGAGTTTATTTTTCCATACTATATGAAGAGAATGATCTCTTCTTAAAGCAGAAGTAATATTTTTAACAAATATTGTCTCGCAAGTAAATAGCAATCAAAAGGAGAAAATAACTTTTGTATTTTTTTAACGTGTTTGATAGCTTTGACGAGGGGAAGGCACCCCATGAAATGCCATGCCATCAGTCCAGGTTTGAGTTTGTCCCACAAAAATGCAGACGGAGTACTGCATGGCTGTCTTTTTGGGTTGTGAACTTTGGGTTGTGAACTTGGCCCGGAATCAACCTCTCTACCACCTTCCAAAAGTAGACAGGTGAGTGGTGAAGGTGTTGGGAGAGGATGTTCTCCAAAGATTATCTGCCACAAAATGGAGTGAGGACCTAGATTTGTTCTTCCTGAGAGGAGCCTTGACTTAAATCCATCCACAAAATTGGTGGCACCACTGACATGCTAATAGTGAGATTCTTCATTTCCTGTCAGACCTGGGGCAGCGGAAGTGAGGAGAAGGAACTCAGTCAAGGACTGTAGAAAATGGACTCCAATTTGTTAGCAACAAAATCCCTTAATTCTTGCAGCCAGCAGCAGCTATTTTGGGGAGCAGCTGTGGTTGTTACATAAATAGAGACGCAGCCAAAATGTAAGGCTTTTTATCCTGCTTCAAGCAGAAAAATGCAGGGAGGTCAAGTAGTCTAGGATTTTTAGTTCCCTCCCCCTGTATGGTTTTTGGCCAAGTGATGAAAATAGTTTTCCTTGAACTATAAACAAACTGCTAAGCCCCACCTCAAACTTGTTTACTGGGGACTTTGTTCTGTTATGTGGATGACCTTTTCCTGGAAGTCATGTTTTTATCAAGCGAGAATGAAGCAAATGTTAATGTCTTCCATTTGACTATTCGTTGTCTCAGACGGTGTCTTCCAGGCAGTCACCATCCTCTACCCAGAGATGAAACGTGCTCACAGCATTTTCCTCACAGTCACATTTAACATTTTGACTTTCACAGACCCACACGTTTCTTGGGACCTGACTTTTGAGTGTTTAATAAAACCATAAGTGTTATTCCCGTAAACCAGCGGCTTTTCACCTGGAGTTCTGTCCCCTGTGTTTAACACTGGATACATCTTGCTGTGCAAAAGTGATTTCCTCTTCAGACGCATTGGTATCTCTAGGAACAGGTCTGAATAGTGGGGTGATTGAGTGGGTTGGCATGAAGTGCTTGATTATATTAACAACACTCAAAACTGTCTGTTTTCCATTTGTTGGTTTTAATCATAAAATTGTCAAGTGGTTCGTGTTTGTACTTTTTTTATACTTTTTGAAAGAATCTGGAGCAAAAATATTTTCCCCTTTTCTCTCTCTGTGTATCCAAACACTAAGCAGATTGCCTGAGATGCAGTGAAAAGAATAATCCAGTGTACATACTGGTACCTTCTGCTAGTTGTCACCTCTGTAGGACACTGTTGAAAGGGGGGAAGGCGGGCAATAGTTTGGTGAGTGGAGGCAGCAAAATACAAAGAAATAGACTTAAGAAACAGTCAGCAGAGAGGCTTACTATGCTGACTGTGTGCCAGGGTGATTGGAAATCCAACTGCCTGGTGGCCGGTGGGTGGGGCTGAGCTGCCAGCAAGATTTACAGCTGGATTGCATATGTCTTATGTACTTCTAGTGGTAGAGTTGTAAAAGCTGAGCCGTGTGTGCACAGCTTTCTTTTGGTTGGCAGAGATTCAGGATCATGGAGTTCTGCACTCACAATGCAATACATATTCCTTCCTGGCAGACAAGCTTAAAAGAGGCTTTCACCTTCGCAATTCCTTTTACCCCAGGCTTATGCAGTGAGCACAGAATGGTGCTGTGGGTCTATTTAGGGACCAAGAAGCCACAAAGTCCAGTGACAGAAAACTAGGTCAACCCTCAGAAACTGGTAGCACACAGCAGCCTGGTGGGCAGCAGGGCTCTCCCTGTGTACTGTGCCTGTGATCTGAGCCTGCCCTTGGATGATTCAAGTATGAAATGACCTGACCCAAAAGTGGCCTTGGTTCTTAAGCCCTTTGCCCTAGCACCCACCTGCTCCCTGGTGTAAATCGAAAAGGCACCTCTGTGTCACAGATACACCCACCCATCGGAAATGACCAGGCCAGCAAGCTGACAGTCCTAGCAGCAAGCCCAGAGATGACGGAACTCACTTTGTGTTCCCAGTTGATGTCACCCAATTTTGAGTTATAACTCTGTCTTCCTCCCAAACTCGTCGCCACTTTTTTTCTTTGAAGGCAGCGTTCTTCAGAAAGCCTGCTTAAAAAGGAAAGTATACCTCTTATGAATTTTACCTCAGTAGCCTGCGATGTAGGTTGGCCTATTGATTATAAGTCTTGCTTACCCATTAGGCATGAATTTAGAAGTGTTCTCCATTTCTTACTCATACGAAATTTGGCTAAATGTGTTGGGTTTGTAGGAAGAAAAATTAATTCTTAATCCAGGAAAATACTGACTCACAATCTTGGACTCCGAGACTCTAATATTTTCTTAATAAAGAGCAAAACAACTAGTATCTAAGGTTCTCTACCCCTCCCTTTAAAAAGAAAAAAGAAAAGTGTTAGATTACACTCTGTAATTTTACATAAAATCTACTTCCCATGCTTTCCCCCAGAAGGCATTCGCAGAGCTTTATTTCTTTGCACTGCTTAGAAATGGTCTTTTTGTTAAGTTACTTAAAACCTCAAAAGGAAAAAAAAAAAAAAGGGCGTGGTTGGTAAGTAGGGAGTATATATTTAACAGCATATGAAAAGATGGCCCAAAGCAGGAACTTTGGCTTCCAGATGTCATGGGTGGGTTACTGGACCCAGTGTGCCTATCTATACAAAGTTGGATAAGGCAATTGGCTTTCACACTGCAAATGCCATGCCATAAATCTGGAATTTCATAAACAAGGTCTGTGAATTGCCTTCTGCCAATGAATGGGTGTGGTTTTGAAGGGAAAGAAAAGGCCTTTGACTTCAGAAGTCCCCTCTTTGTATGTCTCCGGAAAAGAGTCACAAAGCTGTGGTACAAAATGCGATTTGTGGATGAATATATTTACCTTTGTGACAACATCAGGACTTAATATTGATGCCACAATTTTAAGAAAACTGTCACAGTTTACCTGGGGATCAAATCTAATCTTGGAAGAAACAGGGGAAACCAATTGATGTTTATTATTTGTACTCTGTGCCAGCTACTGTGCAAGGCAGTTTATAATTGTTTTATGTAATCCTCACAATCGATCTACAAAGTGGATTATTACCCCTGTGTTCTAAATAGCATATATCGTAAGTGTTGAATGCATGTATCCAACAAAAAACATCGCTGTAGAAAAAAGGAAAGATGCCATTCAAGTATTTTCTAAATTTTTATTGTTATTATTATTACCATGCCCCTTGCAACACTGTGAAAACACCTCTGGGGCAGCTATCAGGTTCTCTTCTTGGCTCCTCTTCATTTTCCTTTAGGGAGCATTTTATCTGATGAACTGCTCACACACCAGGAGAGGCTGTAAGAGGACTTGTGTGCTCAGAGAGAAAAGGCTCCACCCTTGGAACCTTTCAGTATGGAGAGAGAAACCAGGTACTTCTACAGTGAGATACCAGATCAGGCTGTTGGTGGGGATGATTTCTTGCCAGCATTCTCAAGGTTCATGGTTTCAACACAAGCTGCATCTTTGTAAGGTTAAAATCCTCAACCTTGAAGCAAAGCTGAGAGAATCTGATCTCTGGAAATTGAGGGCAGGACTTAGACCTTTAACCTCTTTTAAAATCCTTTCTTGTGGTTTAGAACAGGATAATTCATTTTGATCATTAGTCGAAAGATCTGTATTTTTGTGGGCTCATTTGAGCACCAAAACTAAATAGAAATCTCTTTCAAGACCTTAAAATTTTTTGCATAGTAATGTAGTGACTTTGCTAGTCATTTAAATAACTTGATCCAAGATCAGAAGAACCCAGAAACTCCCCAGAGTTTCTCTCCTTGCTTCTTAAGGCATATTGTGTAGAAAAAAAAAAATGATTCGTATCTCCATAGCAACTGTTTAAGGAGCTGCCTGGAAGGGACCCACATCCACCCTCATTTACTCAGCTTGAAAGAATCAAAAAAAAAAAAAAATTGAATAGAGGTGGTAATATGTTCGTTTTCCCTATGAAATCTGTTCCCAAGATCATGATTATTTCTAACCTGACAGCTGCCAAACTCCTTGAAGATGATGTAGGTAATGACTCTTACCTCTTGGAAGCCAGAACAATTATTCTAATTCAGGAAGACTTCCCCAAGCTGAAGGGCCCATTCAGATATTATCTACCCTCCAAACCCTGAATTCACTCTTCTTCCTCTCCTAACAGTTATTTTTAGACCAAGGTTTTGAACTCCATTAAGTCTTAGAGTACCAAGAACACCATTAACTCAGCCAGACTGCCTTAGGTGCCCCAGAGTTGAAAATAGCTTTAAAACTTAGGGGGCCACTTGACTCAGAGTCAGAAGTAAGAGAACAGCCCAGTGGCCTGGCATGCCAGTCCAGCCTTCGGGAATCTCTTTCTTGACAGGCAAGTGAGCAAAGGAAGTTTGGCAAAAGATTTCATGCCAGATTTTCCATTCAAAGATGTAAGTAAAATTACTATTTATTTTCCTGAACCAGGCAGCTGAATTGTTATGACTACAAATTTGGGTCAGTTTTCCTAACATACATACACACACATGCACAAAGATGAGTGAATAAAGAGAATATAAATACTTTATCACCAACAGACTTGAAGAAAGGGTTGTATTTTGCCTTTCTTCAAACTCCAAAATAATGTCCAGCAAAGAATCAGTATAACTATATTAATACCACAAGAGGAAGAACCAGTGATTGCTCTTGCAAAAGTTAGGCTCAAGTGGGAGCACTGAGTTCTGCTGCTGCTCTTGCCAGCACAAGTCCTTTCTGTACCAGATGTTCACATCTGTTTGACTCCTCTGGGACTATTGCTGGCTTGTGTCCTTTTGGGGCTCATGTCCTTTTTCAGCCCACAATGCATAAAGGACACATCCCTGAGGTACACGCCAGGTCCAGCCACATACAGCCATGGTGTTGTTCACACACTCCTCCACTCACTCACGTGGCCTAGACTGGCATTTCAGCAACTCCCCTGGGATACTTTGACACCAGTGCATGGAACTGGGCTCCTTTAATCTAGGTTGTCCCGGGCGTAGCATTTTAGCATTCCCCCTCGCAGTCTCGAGGACTCAGTTGAACAACCATTGATGGACACCCCGTCCACTTTAGGCACTGAGCTAACCTTCAGCAATACACAGTTGAACCAAACATAGCTCCCACCTTCATTGGGGAGCCTACCAGCAGTGGGGAGACAGCCCAGAAGGGCCCCTGTAGGGAAGGGTCCTGGGTGCTGTGGTGGGAGCATTTTGCAGAGGTAGCCGGCCCACTTTGGGAATCAGAGGTCTCCAGAAGGCAGTGCCATCAAAGCCCACCTTTGTCAGAGAACAGGGTATTTCGAACTGCCCTTCCACGGTAATGGGACAGCAGGCAAAGTGAGCGCTGCAGGTCAGGGGCTGGGGCTCAGAAGTGAAAAGAGATCAAGGGGCAAGGACAGGGCTGTGAGCTAAAGCAGCCACAGAGAAACCTGAGGTTTTTCCATGGATTCAGGAAGCACAGAGATGAACTTCAGGTGCTGCTCTGCCCGATACAGCCCACGGCATGGGTCCCTCAGGCCTGTGTGTACTCAGGCATGGGTCCCTCAGGGCCAGAATTGCCCTCCTCTCTGGGAATACATGGTAGCTTGCTGAAATAACTTACTCTCCTGTCTTCTGTCCCTGCCCCATTCCTGCTCTGATTCCTGTCTCCAAAAGATGTTTGAATTCAAGGGATTTAGCCCAGACTGAATGTGGTTTGGAGTCAGATGGGGGACAGTTCTGGGTCATCCTGACCTGACTTTAGAGACATGATACCTAAAAATACCTCCTGAGACCAAGCTGGCCTGTACCCGGAGATGAGGGTGCACTCTAAAGTAAACACACAGGAAGTGGCAGAGGGCTTCCTTGTGCAGTATGACATGCTCACCAAAGGCAGCCACCCTCACACTGCCCTCCCCTGGGTGAGATTACATCACCCGGTGCCCGGTCCTGAGTGCATACCTGTGCCAAGGAAAAGGGACATTTAAAACTCAAAAGCACGGGTGAAGTGTACACAAGTGGGAAATACCCACAGCCTCAGTAGTTACTGAGGACCTCAGGAGTACTATCAGAGCTCTGCTAGGGTGAGTCAGGGAAGGCACCAAGACACTAGAACCCCCCTATAAAAATAATTTGCAGTGCCTTTTAGGTTTTCCAAAGAACAGAGTAGGTGTTTTCTCTGTTTGTTTCTGTTTTTTGTTTGTCATTTTGTTTTGTTTGTTTTTTGTTTTCCCAGGGAAAATAAAAAGCTTTTAGGCAGAAGCAGAATTAGATGCATCAGCATACAGGCTGTAAGTCGGCTCAAAAGGAAACAGTTCCCCTGATAGGTTAGAGGAATTCAGGACTGGGGCAGTTTTCCCAGCTGAGGGCTCTGGACGTCTGCTGGGGGTCCCAAGTGGGCCTTGCTGCTCTTTAGAGCTGACCTCTTTTGAAAAGCCCTGAACCTGCCCTCCTGGGCAGCAGCACTGGTCTTCCCCACCCTCTGAATGGTTTCCAACCCACACCCTTTCATTTCCCAGATAGTCCTCTGACTCCTCACTGAAAAGTTAATTCTGGGTCTTATGATTCTTACTCAAGTATGTCCAGCCCAAGGTCTAGGCATAAATATTAGAATCCTGCAAAAATATTAGAATGCTGGAAACCAAGAGAATATTTGGCCTCACCTATCCACTTTAAATTTAGGACACCATCTTCCTGTTTTCTGCCCTGGCACACTTCCCCACTCACCTTCATCTCATTGCCAGGAAAGGATCAAATTACCTCCATGCCAGTTGTCACTGGCTGATTATTTGCAGCTCTTCCTGAAGTATTTGTGCGTTATTTAGGAATCTGGCCTTACATTCAAAGCATAACTAGCAGCAAGACAAGGAGTCATCAGGTCTTCCTAGGGTCTGGCAGGTATCCTGGACCTTGCTCTTCTGAGCACCTGCAAATGCATTGTGATCAGCAAGAGAGCCCTGCAGTGCAGCCTCTCTCCACCCTGCTGTGCGTGAACTCTAAAGCAGTGGGCGCCCATCTGTTTCCACTGCACACGGCTATCAGCAAACCGTTGTGAGATGCACCCTCCTGGATACTCATTGATTTGTTTAAAGCATAGATCCGTTTAATTTTATAGTAACCTTAAGCACATTATAAAAAGTACACAGCATAGAAATGTTAAATGACTGAGATCCAAGCCATTATAAACAAGTTCTGTCATTTTCTCTCTGAACTCCTGAGAGCAACTTTGAGTATCTCCTGGTCTGTGCAAACACTTTGAACACCACTGCTGTACAAATCAGCACGCCTCGATGGCATCCCCAACCACTGTGTGGCCCTGGGCCTGTGGAGTAAGAAAATCCTAAGACAAAAATCCCAGGGAACTTCTAAGCTGGGAAATGAGGCAAATGAACTCACAGCATAATTGAATCCTGGCAGGTGAGCTGTCCCAAGACAGTAGCGGCTAGAGGTGCTAAGAACAGGTCAGGTCCATATACACAGCCATGGGATTGTTCTTCCCTCTCTGGGTCTCCAGAAAAGGGCATTGGCAACATCCCCAGCTCTCTCCTGATTGGAATTCTATGAACCCTCGAAGTGCTTCACCAGTGCTACTCCCCATGGCACCATGGACCCGTGTGGCTTGAATATTTTTGATTTGACCACCAAGATGTTATACTGATGATTCTGTTCCATTTTGAAAAGGATCTGAGAAAGTGTACAGGTCTAATTATATATACATATTTATACATGTGTATTTTTGTTTATTGTTACATTTTGACATTGGACTTTCTATTAAATAATTTTTAACAGTTGGTCTGACTTTGTTCTATTTTATGCCTTTTTCTTTCTTGGGTCAGGGAATGGCAAGAAAAGACCCTACCGGTATCCTTTTTGTCCCTTCTCTTTTCTCTAGTCTGGGTGCCGGAGGGCTTCTGCTTTCTGTTCTTAACAGCTTTTCTGGCTTTGCAGGATACGTGCTGTATCACATACTTGAAGGGCTCCTGCTTTGTGTTCATCTTCCACTTTCAGGACACTCAACTCTGTCATATTAGCTTCTACAAATTCATAAATTCACAGATCGCGTGAATTCTCAAGAATAGAGAATGGTACAAAATGATGCCTCAAGCTTCCTCTCTCATGTGTCCCTGCCCACAGAGACAGACAGACAGACAGACAGACAGACAGACACACACACACACACACACACACACACACACACACACACACATATGCGCGTGCGCGCGCACTGCTAGCTATGAAAGCTTAGAAAACTTACTTTACTATTCTGAGCATTGTAAAAACAAGAGAGTTCTCATAGGTTTACCTTGAAGGGATCCCTTAGTGTGTGATTAACAGCCATCTGTTTTTCAAAGGCTCTTTTTTATTCACTCATTCAACCAGCTGACATTTGCTCTGTGTATTAGTGTGTGCCAGGCTCTAGGGTGACCCAAGTCAGGACTCAGGGACGTAAGTCACGTCTGCCAGTAAGGCAGACAGTAAGGCCTCTGCCTTATATTCTCCCATGCCAGTGCAACCTGTCACTACCTGCTGTTTTCTGAAGCAGAAAATGATGACTTCTACTGCACTGGCTGTCCAGGGTCCACTGAAGAGAAACACACATAGCATCATAGTGCTGTGGTATGAATCCACAAGCAGTTTGCCTTTGCTGTGGCTTCCCTGTTCACGTCCAATGAGGGCTGATCGCTTGATCAGTATACCCACTGGCCCAGCACCCTTGCTCTTGGGAACAGAGCATCTTCATGGTTTCCTGATGGTGTGATGGTAAGAGTAAGGGTGGGCCAGCTAGCAAGAGGGAAGGCATTAAAACTATTCCTGGCTTTCTCCTCCAAGCCATAGTACTGGAAGTTCAGATTTGCAACTGAGTTTTACGAGCTGTCAAACAAGGCAAAAGCTCAAGCATCTGCCCAAAGTAAACTGAATCCAAATTTTTTCTTTGAAAAACAAACCTCTTCATCCTGGCAGAGGCTCCCTTGAAATCACAAAGCCCAGCCTAGCTGAAAGTGCTCTCTAATGCCACCCACCAGCTCCACATAGACACACACTGGGTTCTGTACCCAACTGGGACTTCTGAAGTTTCCTTTATCTCATGCCAAAAAGGAGTCAAACTCAGGAGACCACTGAGCTGCTTCTTGTGGCTCCTTCTAGTACCAACATTGCTCTCAGTCCACTGGTAATGGTTGGACTGAAACTGAGACCAGTTGCCTGGAGTCAGCTCACTTGAAAGCAGAAGTTGGGAAGTGGGATATCAGTGATGGAAGGAGGAGCAAACCCAACTACACAAGGCCTCAACATCCACGGTGGAGAGCAGAGGCAGCAGACTGGAAAGCCAGGAGTAAGCCAACACTGAAGCGGGGATGCTTCTGCTCATCAAGTTGGCAGGCCACCACCACCTCGGCTGCACACACTGCCCAACCACCACCTGCTCGGAAGGAGGGGGAAATGCTGCAACCTCCTGACTCCCATCATATTACCAATCCAACCACCTGTTCTTCCGCAGAACCCAGCTTCTGGGTCCTGGCCTGCTCTTTGCCCATCCTCACCCCTGCACACTCTACCATGTTCGATTTCCTGTGCTGGTTGCTACCATGAGGTCACCAGGAACACTCCCACGTCTCCCACCACTGTGAACTGAGACTCCTTCATGGGCCACTTAAATTGACCTCTTGCCCAAGCCCTCTTCACCTTCTGGCTCAGCATGTCTGTCTTTCTCACTGGAGAACTTTAAGGGCCAGATGTATGTGAAGGTGGGTAGAAAGAGTCTTGCAAGGCTTAAAACAAGAACTCCCATGGAAGATGAGGCCTTCAAGTGGAAGCTGGGGCCCAGAAACTAGATCAAGTTCACTCTTACTGACTCAGAGCCAAGCTTCCCTACTGAGGAAGGGTGGCTCAGTGTGAAAAGCTAAGTAGCAGGCAGGGTGCAGGTCCAAGAGCCACAGTGATAATGGAAAAAGAATTCAAGAGGAGATTAGAACACCTGCATTCAAGGAGGTGCTTACCAGGTTATACATCAGAATACATATTGTAGGTAATGTCAATACATTTCCTTTTGTCTGACCCCCACCTTTTTGTGCTAGATTGAACCCAAGACTCCCTGCGTGCTAGGTTATTGATCTACCACTAAGCTATACCTCCAGACATGGATTATTTCTATAAAGGAAACATGAAGCACAGTCTTAAAATGCCCATTAAATATATATGTGGAAAAAAATGGGTGCTCCAGAAGTTCCCCCAGACATAAGAGTCTAGGCTATAATTCCAAGTCCCAGGTGCCTCCAGACACCAAGCTTGCTACTCAACCCAGCTGGCATCTGAGGGCAGCTAGAGATGGAACTGTAAGCAACCTGGGCCATGTGCCCTACAGTGTGCCCAGCAGCCACCTCTCATGGTGACCTTCTCAGAGACCTCCTCCTGCTAATGGAAGGAGAGAGAAAAAAGGCTCATCACTGAACCATGACTACTGGGCCCTTGCACAAGCAGTTCTTTCCGATTGCTCTAGGGGTTATGGGATACAACTGTCTCTGTTGCTCACCAAGCTGCAAGATGTTCTGTTTCAGCTTATGGGGGAATCATTCAGTTGGTGCCACATCGTCATTCTAACATTTCCACCAAGGATATGCAGTCATCTCCCAAGGAGATACCACTGTCCCACTGTTATCAGAGTCTGCTAATTCAGTGGCCAGGGGCTTTGTCTCATGCATGCCCTCTCAAGCTATCATTCTTGCCATTTTCTGGAGCATTCTAGAAGTCCTCTTTTGTGGCTTTATTTGTGCTATCATAAACAGGCTCAAAATGTTTACATTTCATGGTTGTTTCTACTTTGAGGAAAAACCAGAAGTGGCCAAGGGCTAGGCAGATGAATACTTTGAACAAGAAAACACCATAATGTTTTTATTTGACAAAAATTGCCATAAACATTTTGAAATGATTCAGGACATCAAGGTAACCATGAGAAGATACTCAGGAAAGAAAACTTTCAAAACTACTTCAGAAAGTGGCAAGAATGATAGAATAAGAGTATTTGAAGGTAAAAGAAAGTATTTTGAGAGAGATTAATGACAACATGTCTTTTATGGACATAAATCTCTATAATTTAAATACAGTATTTTTTAGTACACCTCACAGATAGGTGATACACAGATGCACAACACAAATACTGACTGTCACATCTGATCCTCAGAGGACTTGATCTGTAGCACTGGGAGAGGTGGCTTCCATAGGTGCAGGGTTGGGAGCCAGGATAGCATCTAGATGGTGCTGAGAAAGGTCATCTTAGTGAGACTTTGTGAGTTGTATGGTGCAGTTCCAAATACACCAGAGGAGAAATGCCTGCCAGTACTTCCCCTTCCACAATGTGGTTCCTCCAGAGCTTATGGCTCCAACAAATGGTATCAAGAATGGATGAGCGGTAGCAGTGGGAAGGGACGGACTGTGTGCCTCCTCATACACACCAAACAAATAGAGGAGGTGTCACTCAACAAATCTGCCTTGCTGGAGCTTGCTCAGCCTGCACTGGGGGGTGTCAGAGCCTTAGGATCACGCAGAGCTCTTGTGAACACAATGTCCAGGCCTCGGGTCATTTCATCAGAATTCCTGAGAGCAAGGATGGGCAGACGCGTTTTGACTATCTATGCAGATAGCTGCGAGCCTCAACAGGTTTGAGAACCGCTGGTTCAACTGCAGGCTATCAAAACAGATGCTAGCAAATGAACTTGAGCAGAATGGGCCCTATCTCTGAGAAAGAAACAAGGATCCTTCAAAGACTCACTCGTGGAGAGGAGGCAAGAATGAGCAGTGACACACGAAGGAGCAAGAAGAATGGCTGTCTTCTTGCTGGGGCGCAAGAAAATCAATCAAGTCTTACTAGACCAAGAGCTCAGGCTAAGAAAGGGACTCAAAGGCTTTCCTGACATTCAGACTTGATTTTGCTCCAGCCATTTCAGAGGAAGAGAGTTTCATGAAGACCCCCTGAAGGGAAAGCTGTCCCCTTTGTCACCACATCTATGCAAGGCAGGAATGTACCATCATAGCTGGCCTCAGGCAGCAATTAGGCCTGCTCCTGCCTTACCTGGAGGACACTTAGCACCCAGAAAAGATGTTGTTCCCAGGGAGCTGTGACAAAGAAGGTGACAAAGCTGTGACAAAGAAGGCAAATCCTACCACCAGGAAAGCCTTCATGTGAAAGAGGGATGGATTCCTGGCTTCAAGGGACTGAGGGCAGTAGCTGATCATCCTCTTTGCAGGGTCCCCTCAGCTGAATCAACAGGCAAACAGAATTTACACATCCTGCCTGGACACTATGCAAAGGGGTAGAGAAAGTTTAAGCAAGACAGCACCAGTGGAGAGGCTGAGAGACAAGCCTCAAATCCCTTTTCCCAGGGACAGGGTTTGGGGAAATTTGTGGTTTAAACAAGCAGAGTGATCTGAATGAAGAAAAATCACTAAATGTAGTGAAGTGATCAGTGGTCTGCATGTGCTTAACCATACCTCATGTCTGTTTATAGGATGCATGTTCAGAAAACTGTGGTGTTAGCATAACCTGAGGATGATCCTTTTGGTCCTCAAAAAGTCACCCACTGGCCGCCTGCACAGCCCAAGGGCAAGGTCAGTGATTTGAGCTAGATGAGCCTACTTCCAAATTCCTAAAAAACAACGGAATCCTGGTGAATTTGGGAATGGTCACCTGCTATGTGACTCAAGACATCTGCATCTTCTCTCCAGCAGAGTGGCTAGGCTCACGGCTAGAATTTCAAATGCCTGTCCAATTATGTGCAGCATCTTGGTCATTGGCATG